GGATTAGATTTCCTTCACCTTCTTTGGGTTCTGAGCCCAGTGTTTCAGATGTGTTCAGTACATGCTTGTGGACAGCCCTGTTGAGTGCTTGGATACTTTTGTTCTCTAAATTGAAGACAATAACTATGACCGGTCAAGTGTTTATTCCAACTAAATCAAGTCAGGCTTCTTAATCTCTCTGACCAGTTTCCCAAAGAAGCAGTGAGTAGACTGAGGCACAAGCCCAATTTAGTAATGAAGTGTTTTTTCCTTCCCAAAGATTGGACAGATTCTTGGATTACTAATCAGTACTTGTAGAATGCTCAAGCAGGGCTGGACAGTAAAAATATAATAATAAAATAATTTTTTTTTTTTTAATTAAGCAATCCACCGCTCTTTCAAAGGCTGTGCAATCAGAAGAGCAAAATGGGAACAGATTTTGGGAAGAGCAGTGAAATTTTGGTTATGGAAAGGTCTGGACTAGCTGAGTGTGTAGGCTCAGAATTGAAATTGGTGCAATATTATGTTAGCACCTCTGTGTGTTGTAGCCTTGGGGCTGAGGCAGCTTTGTTCCCTGTGCTTCAAACCTGAAATACTGATGTCTGAGCAACATGTTTGTATCTTAGCCAGCCCCTGTGAAAAAGAAGCGTCCTCCAGTGAAGGAAGAAGACCTCAAAGGAGCCAGAGGAAACCTTGCCAAAAACCAGGAAATTAAATCCAAAACCTACCAAGTGATGAGGCAGTGTGGTAAGTCTCTGGGATGCAAATGATTAAGCAAAGTAAGACAAAGACAAGTGAAGGGGTCACCAGTGGAACAGCAGCCTGCAGTGTGCTCATGACCTGGTCCATCTGGGCAGGGATTTGGGGTATATCAGCTGCATGGCACCAAGAAGAGCCAGCTGGGCTCTGCTTCATGATCCTTGTTCTTGTCTGGATGAAGTGGGAGGGAGAGCAAACCAAGCCCTGGGGCAATCATCAATGTCAGTGTCTGCCCAAGCTGAGGATCAGAGGCTTGATCCATAGGTTTGGGGATTTCTGGCCTCTCAATTGGTGAATTTGATGTGTTTGAGATTCAGCAGAAATTGGGAGGAATAAAGGGCAGGAGGGGAGATAGAAGAGAGTGGCTGCTTGCACTGAACACCTTTGGTGCTCTGGCTTTGTGTTGCTTTTCCACCACCAGTATAGGGAAAAATGGTGAATTTTAACCCCTTTCCAGCATAATAGCCTGGACCTGAGTAGTTCCCAAATTTCTGAAGCAAGGATTTGGGGTCAGTCAGTAGTAGTGACCTACAGGTGATGTCAGCTGCCGTGTGCTCGGGGTGGGAACACTGTGTTTTAAGGTTTGGGAAATTGATGGCCAGATGAAGTGTTTATCAAATGTGTCTATATGTATTCCAGCAGCACTAGTTTTACTCACCAAACTTGGGTGCTACTTCACTGATTGTCTCTCCTGGTTTTCTTTTCCAAGAACAAGCAGGCTCCGCAGCACCCTCCGTGTTCAGCCGGGCTCGGACAGGGACTGAAACAGTCTTTGAGAAACCAAAGGATGAGCCGGCCAAGAGCGTCTTTGGCTGACAGCAGACCTGGATGCATCTCACCCAGATGATTGTTGTAACATTTTCCCAAACTTTTGTCCCTTACACTAGAGTCACTGTAGATTCAAGCAGCTATTTTCCACTGTAAGTCATTAAGGAGGGATTATGCTCAAGTCGAAGGGTAAAACTTCTGTGTTCATTTTTATTACGTACTTTCTTTCTATGTGTTGGACGGTGTTTGCTACAATGGTTTAATAAAAAAAGGTTGTTGGACACAGCTTGGCGCACTGTGGTGACTCATTTTGGTTTAGGCTCAGATTAATTCTGGCTGTCCCCTCACGGATCTCCCCTCACGGATCTCCCCTCACGGCCTTCCCTCACGGATCTCCCCTCACGGCCTTCCCTCACGGATCTCCCCTCACGGCCTTCCCTCACAGCTCCCCCCTCACGGCCTTCCCTCACGGATCTCCCCTCACATCTCCCCCCTCACACCCCTCAGGGCAGCACTGCCGTGATTTCCCCTCCTGCAGCTCTGCTGGGAGGGCCCTCAGAGTGCACCAGCACCAAAGGAGGGATTTAAGCCCATTCCCCAGTGGCTTTTCCCTCATGTCCCATGGGATTGAGTGAGAAATGTGGTGACAGACCCAGCTGCCATGCTCTGCCCCACCGAGTGTCCCTGTGCGGCAGCCAGCCCGCTCTGAGGGGGAGCTGGTTTTTTTGCAATGCTTTTTACTTCTTTATTTGCTGCATTAAACATCAAACCTGCTTTTCCCAAAAGCTGGAGTGTTCCCCCTCAGCTGGATCTTTGTGCTCCAACACAGAAATCCTCTGCTTTGTGGGCACCTGCCACTCCTTCCACACACCTTGAGTCCCTGCAGCCCATCCGGGGACAGTAAGGTAGGTGACATGTTTATTTAGGGAATTACTTAAATTTTACAAAGGCTAGACGTGATAAAGAGGTAAAAGTGATGTCAAAGGTCTCTGTGCACCATGAAAAAGATTCTATTTGCCTTGTGTTTCCCAAACACTTGACAGATAAAATGTGACAATGTCCACACAGCTCCCAGAGAGGCTGCGGGGCAGAGCTCTCATGAGGCAGCAGCAAAATCCTTTGGCTTTAAAGGGAAAGCTTCCTTAAGGATATTGCTGGTGCATTGCCTTACCCCCCTTTTCTTCACTTTCAATTATCATTTGCAACCCAGACCCCTCCTCACTTTGCTGGACAGGATTTCTCCATGGAGCCCAGGCTCCTCACAGGTACCTTGGCACAGCCTTTTCCCCTGAGAAAAATCCTTTCAGAGCAAGAAAAAAGTCATGGTGGAAAAGAGTTGTCACCCTGATAACGCTGGAACTGCCCCTGCAATGGGCAGCTAATTACCAAACCCTCCCTAATTACTCTGCGATGAGAAGTTGGCAGGAGGTTGTTCAATAGTTATAAAAATGATGGAGAGGGACAAGTGGGGCAAAATGTTGCTTTCTTCTGTGTGATAGAAGGGACTGACTATTGCAGATTTGCAGGTGGGGCAGCAGGAGAGGGAGGTGCTGTATTTCAGACTCTGTTTCAGGGATGTTGCTGCCCGTTTAGCAAAGCACAGAAACCTCTGTGTCCCATGGACTTGCGGCACAAATGTAACAGAGAAGCAAAGTAAGTCACCTGCCAGAAACTTGGGATTTAACTATCAGCTTTATTTCTACAGTGTCGTCAGGTTCAATGACTTGTGATGCTTCCCAGTGTGACAGGAAATTCTCAGGACTGGGAATCTTCTTTAGTTTTTCTGTCTTTTAAGATGGACTTTATCTAAAAAATAGACACTGGAGGTAAAACCATTTTCCAGGGACAAAGTTACTCCCTATTTGGGACAGCCAGGTCTGTGCTCTCCTGTATGGATTGTAGGAATCCTCCCCCATCTCCAGGCTCGCTGCTGTGCTGGAAAAGTTACTGGCTGCTGCTGCAGGACAAGAGATACTTGTAGGTGAGAGGGACAAATAGAAAGCTGCCTGGAGAATTTTTTTTGTCAGTTTTTTCTCCATCCTTGCAAATCTGATCAGTCCAATCATGGAAAACGTGACAATGGACATGTAACGTCACAGAAAATGGATAGAGTAATGTCTGAACAAAGCCCCAGGGTTTGAGTTTTTAGGTAATTTTGCACTCAAAAGTATCTCCTGTTGTGATGGTGAGTTCAGATCCTGACTCCAAGATGACTTGGATCGTTTCACAGCATGTTCACTCCCCAGAGTGAGAGGCAGTGGGGGCTGCAGGACTGGTGCCCAGTGTCCCAGCAGCAGTGGCCCTGGACCAGCAGGGATGGCTGTGGCAGAGCTTGGTGCTCGACTCAGGGACAGGGCTGAGCCTGAGGATCTTCCTGCAGCTGCTTCAGCAGGCCCCAGAGGGATGGGGAAGGGATTTCACAGGATTGCCAGGTGCTGGCCGGCCCCAGGCAGGCAGGAGGGCTGACCATGCAGCCTAAAAACTGTGCAGTGAAAGCAGCTCTTTAAAATCCGTGTGATTTTACATGTGGGCATTAGAAAACTAATGACAGATCTGCTTAATTAAAGCTAAAGCTTTGACCCTTGCACCTCTTAGGCCACTTAAGTGTATAATCCTGTGTATTTTAAGGGATTAAAGCATTACACAAGTAGTGCAAGTTAATCAAAAGTATAGCAGTTTAATTTTTTTCTCTCTTAAAATATACATGTTTACATGTCTTGCCATAAAGAATACAGTATTTGCCAGTAGTATAAACAGCCTGCCTGGGAGAAATGAAGTTTATTTTTTAAAAGAGTTACTTAAAGCACAAGCCTTGTAAGACCAGGGTTTGCTCAGCACATTCTTTATAGGGAACTTGGTGAGTGATAAATTATCGAGCCCTGCATTGGTGTCTCCTCACAAATCCAAGGCCACTGGAAGCTGGCTCTCCATCTGGACACTTTGTCTGTTAAACAGCCATGAAGCAAACACAGGATTTTTGTGTTACTTTAGGACCATGAATGGCATCACCTACCAAAGCTCATGGCTTGTCAAAGGCAGCCAGAAGGGATGTTTGACAAGGGCTGCTCTGTACCTCTCATGGGCCAGCTGGGCAGGGAGGCACAGAGGTTGAAGAAGCCATCAGCTGTGAAATGTGGTTTGCATGTTGCATCTCCTGGCAATCTCCAAACCACTGAAATGCTGCTTGAGATAATGTTAAGGCTGTGCTCTTTCAAGTTATTGCTGTGGAATATGGTGGAGAATCCCGCACCTTGCTGCACAGACCAGTTCATCTGCCTGTGGGATTTCACGGGACAGGGTGAGATAAAGGAAACATGAGGATTTCTTAACTTTGTGTTATGAAACATTAAAATTATAATGTTTAACAGCAAAGATCTGTTGGAAAAATAAGCATTAACCAAGTCTGAGTTTTACCCATGTTTAACAGGTAAATATTAAGTTTCTTCAAAGTCTACATGTTATTCCCGAGTACAAGTTACTCATTAACTGATTAAGATAAACAGAGATTTCATTTGAAAATTTGCTTTTTTCCAAAATGGAGCAGAGAACATTGCTTGCATTGCTGGTCTTTTCCTCACTCATAGTATTAGCAGAGGCTCTGAAGGTATTTGCTCTATTTTTATTATCAATATCTCATTTGCTGATCCGGTGGTATCACAGTAACTGGCCAGGTAGCTCCTCTGGTAACCACCACTTGGGGAGCCTTGGGTGGACTCTGGTGGGATTTCAGAGCTTTGGGTTCTTGTAAGACCTTTCTGGTTGGTTGTTTGGGCTGTTACAGCACAAATGTGGCAGGAGGCATTTGCAAAGGTGTCTGATCATGCTGTTTCTCAGGGATGTAAGATATCAAATTTGAGTGATCAGTGGCTCTGCCTTGGCCACCAGATGAAGTTTGGAGCTTGACACAGGACCAAACAAGGACTGTTGCAGTGCCAGAATTTTTCTGACAGGTGTTTAATAATTTATATGGAACAGAAAAGAGGAGAGTAGACAGCTACTTGCACTGTCTGGAGGAGCAAACTGTGTTTGTACCATCTCTGGGTGCCTGGCCTGGTGCAGGTACCTGAACTGCTGGGATCAGGACGTTGCTCTGTATATTAATATTTTGGGGGTTTATCCCCTTGTCCTGGATGGTCGGTAGGCATCAGGAGATGGAGAACACCCTGGCCACGTGTAATGAAAACTGGAGCTGCCATCCATCACTCACCCAGCGCTGGCTGTGGCACCTCCTGCCTCGATGCCTGAGCCCAGAGCTGTGGTCACAGCTTTGTGTGCAATGGCCATGTTCAGCTTGGGTAAAGTTTAGAATTTTGGCCAGTGCCATAAGTGACAAGAGGTCACTGGCTGCTATTAAAGGGCATCTCTGCTTGTGCAAGCAGTGAGGGGTTGGAGGCCCATGTGGGGTGTCAAACCTGCTAAGTGTTGTACAGGACATAAGGTACCCAGCTGGAAAACAGACAGCAAAGTCAACAGCTGAGAGAGTAAATTAATAGTCGTTCAAAAAGCAGGGCCTGTCCCACGAGTCAAATGCTTAAAGAGGCTTCTGATCTTCCTGAGGTTAATCTTGGGTTATGTACTGGGGTGATGCAGTAGCTGCTTTGCTGTCCCTGACGAGAGAAGGCCACACAAAAAGACAGAATCTTGTGTGGGACAGCAGTGCACAGATGTAGCTGGAGATTTTGCATAGGCTGCAGAGATGTGAATAAAGACATGGCCAGACTGGTCATGAACAATCCTCTCCTCAGTTCCAGCCAGGTTTCTAACAGTTCAATCTTTTGTCAAACTTTCCCAACAACATCACCCAGCTAAGGACTGCTTAGGAGCAAGAACAGGGTGTTTCTTTTTTACCCTGTTTACTTTTTTCCAGCCTGCTATTGAAATCTACAGCCTTCACGTGGACTGCAAGGTCACCTCACGGTTCGCTCACACCGTCATCACCAGCAGGATTGTCAACAGAGCCAATGAGTCCCGAGAGGCCACCTTTGAAGTGGAGTTACCCAAGACAGCCTTCATCACCAACTTCTCCATGTAGGCCGGTCCTTCCCTGTGGTGGGAAGGAAGCAGCTCTGGGGGCTGGAGAAGGGTTGCACTGTGGGGGTGGCTCCTGGACATCCTCCTGGGTGGGGAGGGATGTGGGACCCAAACAGCATCCCCTGCACATGTCCTGAGGGTTGACCACAGAGAAACTTCTGTTGAGTTTCTTTCCCCAGCACATTCTTTCTGATATTAATTAAATTTTTATGGACACCAAACAGGTCCATCGATGGTAAGGTATACCCAGGGGTAATAAAGGAGAAAGCTGCTGCTCAGAAGGAATATGACACGGCAGTCTCACGCGGGCAGAGCGCCGGCCTCGTCAGGTACGTTGCCATTCCGTGTAAGGCTGCTCCAACGCTCTTCCTTGGCTCCTTGTTTGGCTGGGGGCAGGTTGAACCCTAGAGCCAGTCACCCCCCACTGGGGCAAATGTGAAAATCAGTCTTGGGTTCTTGGTGGGTGGGACAGTGTATATATATATATTTTCACATATAGATCCACATAAATATGATTTATATCTGGTCCTGCAGCAGGCTCCAGTGGGAAGTGTCACAGTTTAGCATTTCCATGGAACTTGCTGTCATAGAATGATTTATGTTGGAAGGGACCTTAGGGACCAGCTTGTTCCAACTCCTGCCATGGGCAGGGACACCTCTCACTAGACCAGGTTTCTCCATCCAACCCGGCTCCCTGTCATGCAAGAGCACCTTCCCATGCAGGGATGATGCTCAGTGTTGTTGAGTTTGCTTCTCCACAACCCCAGAGGACCATGGCACTTGAGTAGATATTACAGTTTCAGGGTATATTTAATCTGTGCCTCCCAGGTATTCAGACCCAGCTCTGCTTGATCCCAGTCCGAGGCATGCGGGGGTTTCTGCTCCAGTTCTCAGCGTGCACCCATGGCACATTAATATAATATATGTGATGCCTATAATGGTGACTGCAATGTAAAAACTCTTCTCTATGATGAAGAGGATTTACTGTAACTCTTTTTTTATTCGTCCCGTGTGGCCCCTTGGCCATTATTTCGCACACTTCACAAACTCCGCCACCACGGGGAAACCTTCCCTGCAGGAGGTAAATCCCTGTTCTCCACCCCCAGGATCAGAGACAGGAAGCTGGAGCTGTTCCACGTGTCCGTCAGCATCGCGGCCGCCAGCAAAGTCACCTTCGAGCTGACGTACGAGGAGCTGCTGAAGCGCCAGCTGGGCAAGTTCGAGCTGCTCATCAAGGTGCGGCCCAAGCAGCTGGTGAAGCACTTCCAGGTGAGCTTGCCCTGGTGAGGGCTGGGCAGGGAGCAGTGCTGTGGGTCTGGGGCATGGCTGTGTTCCCTCTGAGGTGCTGATGCTGCTCCTTCTCCGCTGCCAGATCGACGTGCACATCTTTGAGCCCCAGGGCATTCGCTTGCTGGAGACGGACAGCACCTTCATGACCAACGACTTAACCGAGGCGCTCACCCAAGTCCAGAACGAAACCAAGGTACAGCAGCAGCTGCCGGGCGTTGCCAGCTCTCAGTAACATTGCTTTGAAGCTTTTCTTCTGATTGCTTTGCAGGCTCACATTTTGTTTAAGCCAACTATGGATCAGCAGAGGGCAAACCCTGAACTCGATGACACTCTCCTCAACGGTGACTTTGTTGTGCGTTATGATGTTGAGAGAGAAGCCACGGCGGGTGATATACAGGTAAAAAAAAAGAAGAAATAGGAATAAAAATGCTTTCAGATCACAGATAGGTCTGAATGTGAAGTGCATTCATCAAAACAGCAACATTTTTGCTTTGAAACACCAAGACTGGCAGGAGAATCACCTTCCATTAATCCAGGGTCAGCAGGAGCTGACCAGGAAATCCCTGGAGACACTGGACACATTGCAAGAATGGGTCACCCAAGAAAAATAATCTTTGAAATTTTGTTTCAATACCAAAATGTCTCTTCACATTCTTTTTTATTATTGTTTTGGCTGATCTAAGGTGCATTTGTGGCTTCTTATAAATGAAGTTTAGAGGAATGTGATTTATGTAACTATAAATGCTTGGTTTCCTTGTGGTTTTTGTGATAATGGAGGCATAACTAAAGACAGCAGGAACTTAACAAACATTTATGGACCGATGCATATTCTAGGGAATAAAGGACAGTGTTTTCCATACCATTTAAGTACTGTAGGATGCAGGGATGTGCTGAAGGATGGAAGCCACAGTCACTGAGCAGAGATGTGCTCATAGGCATGATAAAGAGCTAAGGTGATGCACAGTGATAATATGGATATATCCTACATATATTAGGCACTGAGGTGTCTAATATATATGTACACATGTGCATGTATGCTGCTCTCTTGTAATTTGCTCTCTACAGACAGTCTTGCTTCCAGCTAGGAAATACATTTTAATTTCTTTAATCGAAGTTCTTTGATTTGGGCTTATCGAGAAGAGCAGAATGCTGAGCGTGATCCTCCCCCTCCCCTCTTCTTGCTGTGCCAGAATGTTTAAGATGCAATATTTATTTCTTCAGATGTAATTTCACAGGTGATTTCACATTCTGTATTTCAGATTGTCAATGGGTATTTTGTGCACTACTTTGCACCCAGCGAAATGCCAGTGTTTCCCAAAAATGTCATCTTCGTTATAGACCGAAGTGGCTCCATGGCAGGCAGGAAAATCGAACAGGTAACTTCCCTCGAAGCATGACCTCTGCTTGCACCAGGGGCACACACCCCAACCTTCCAAGGAACTGACTGGGAATTTCTCTTTGGAAACACACTCTGGTTTTGTGCACACTAAAATGTTCAGACTTACAGAAGTGCCTGAAAACGCACAGGCACAGATTGAAGCTGGTAAGGAGCAACACTCGTCTGACACAGCTCCTCTCGTGGGTACCAAACATCAGGGCAGAGAGTGCCTTCTGTCTCTATCTTTGCAGAATATTTTGCTTTAATTTTTTTTTTAATGAAGTTAAAGAATTCTGTTTTACCTTTACTGATGACTGTGTATGCAGCTCTGTTAGAGGGCAGACAAGCCCCCTACAGCCCTCAGAGATGGTTTTTCTATGTCTGTAAGTGGCCATTTCTAATGGTCTCATCCTAAAGAATACCACTAGAGTTTAATAAAGGCATTGAACTGCATCTGGAAGAACTGTAGAGAACCCCCTTATCTCACTGCAGTTCCAATCCCAGTTCTGGCAGAGAAGCAGGACTAACCAAAGTGATGGTTTTCTCCTTGGAACAGACGAGGGACGCCCTGCTGAAGATTTTGCAAGACCTGCGCCCTGAGGATCATTTTGGCTTTATCACCTTCAGCAACAGAGTGGTGGAGTGGAAGAGCTCTCTGCTGCCAGCCACCCAGGAGAACGTGGCCAGTGCTGCTGCTTTCGTGCAGACTCTGTCTGCCAGGGGAGGTACATAAGGAATTGCAGAGAAAATAATTGGGTTTATTAGTTATGTAGTGCCCCCGAGCTAAAATCAGTGCTTACAAAGTAAGTCAGACAGTGTTTAATATTTATAAGTGATGAGTGGTAGAGAAAGGCTGAGAGTGGATGAACTAGTGATTAGAATATTATATCTATATATGTATATGAAGAGGTAATTGCATCACATCTATCAACCACACAAGCCACAATGTTTTATTTCAAATTATTTTCACAGAGATAACTGTAAGATTCCCTGATACTGCATTTTTTTTGTACAGAGAAATGGCAATTTACTCAACATTTACTAAAAATATTAGCAGCTTGCTGATTTTTTTAATATATGGGATCCCCTTGTAAACAAAACCAAAACAAACCCCAAACCCACATCCACAGTTATACTCCCCTATAAGCCACACCACAGAAACAAAACAGGCAAAACAGGCACGTGGCATTTCATGTGTTGCATCAGTCAGTGTGGCTGGTGTTACTGTTCAGTTTTCAGCACATCTCTGGGGGTACATCCTGTACTGTTGCACTGTTGGTATTAACACTGGTTTTCTCACCCTGGGCATCAACACCAATAAACCCACCCGTGCCCAGCTCTGCTCTCTGACTTTTCAAATAAGGCAGGGAAACTTTCCTTCAATGTAGGTTAACAGACGACAGTGTGTTTATTTGAGCACTTTTTAATGGCTCTAGACATGTTTATATTTCCCATGACATATGTGTGGAAAATGCTCCCAAAAGAACACCTAGGCCCTGCTGTGGCAATATAAAACACCGTAATTAAGCCCGGTAGGCCCAGTTCCCAAATCCTCAGCTCTCAGAAGGATTTTGCTTCCTGCAGAAAACTCTAAACAGCTCTGCAGATGAAGTGCACCAGTTTCTCCAGACGGTTATCCAGCTCAGGTGAGTGATTCCTGCTTTTCTCTTTGCAGGCACAGACATCAATGGTGCCCTGCTGAGTGCCGTGGGTGCGCTGGATAAAGCCAAGGACCTGCCAGAGCGCAGCGTCTCCATGGTTATCCTGCTGACAGATGGCCAGCCCACTTCTGGTGAGTAAACACTGCCCTCAGGCCTCTCTCCCCTGCACTTTTTTTAAACTTTTTTACACTTTTTACATCCCAGGTGTTGATAGACTTAGCCTGTGTTTCAGAAGAGCTTTGGAATATGCAGGCTTAGCTACTGTTGGATCTGGAGAGGGGCATTATGAGAGGGACAAGGGGTGTAAGGAGTGATGGCAGAGCCTTCCTGCCCATGACTTCTCATCCTTTAGCTGGGAATTGTTTTGCTAAATACCACTGGCTTCCCAGTTTATAAACTCGAGGGAATTTTGGGAGATCCTCCAGGCACAGCTGAAATATGAAAGTAAAATATTTGGAGACAAAACATGAATATACCACACACTGTCCCATTTGGGAACTATTGGTTTACTGTTTCTTTACCCCCCTTGCCCCGAACTTGAGATATTTTCAAAGTGCTTCTTGCTTTGTATTCTTTTCCATGTCTTAACTAGTGATCAGCTGTGACAGCACAAACCAGAGGGTTGAGTTAGAAATATTGGGTGAAATAAGCAGTAACTCCCAGTGCAATGGCACAAACATCCCTTGTGCTGAACAGGGGCTTGTCAAAGCTTTTTTGTGGCACCAGCATCTCTCCAAGGCCAGCAAGATGAATCCAGCTGTAAGCCCTCTAATAAGATCAGCCTGCCTTTTGGATTGTGTGAGCCATTCTGCTTTGGGGTTTCTTTATTTGTTTGGGGTTTTAAATAAAATTCAGCTCCTGGTGCTGCCTACTCAGCACAGCCACAGTGAGTCTCCAATACTCCTGAGTGCCTTGCACATCCAGCAGTTGTTGGAAACCAGGCTGGGGTGGAGTACCTGGGGCTGTTGCACACACTGCCTTCTTCGGCAAAGCAGCTGGAAGGGAAAAATGTGGGCTGCTCTCACCATATTGCTACAGGCAGTGACAGTTCCTGCCTGGAAATACTGATGGAGAAGCTCTCCGTACATGGCCATCAGTAGCTCTTCAAATGCGATAAGATGATAGTGTGGAAACTTTTTCCCTCTGTCACCAAAGGGGCTGGGAGAGAAGCACGGCTGAGTTTATTGGCAGTTTGCTGGAACTGCACCATTAACCAATCCTTCTTCTCTGAACTGACACCATAATTTCTATGGATGGTACTTGCCTTCCCCACACTTGATGAAGTGTATCCACCCCTCACATTGTTAACTTGTAGTGTGCATCCCTTCTGTCCTAAAATCCCCCTCTGGCCCCTGTAATCTTGTAAATCATTTTGCACTTAGCCATGATAACATCAGTAGAAGTTAGTAAAAGCCATCAAGGGGAAGAATCACGTTCTGGCACTCCATATGCAGAGTGGTGCTTTCATCTCCAATTCATTTAACAGCATTCTGTCCCATGTCTTTCTGCTGTTTTATTCTGAATTATTTTTAAAACCTTCAGGCAGAATTTCCCATTAAACCTGCTGCTGTCTTTTGGTACTTGAAAAAGCCCAGACCAACGAGGATATGTTTTTTGTTTTGATTACAGGTGAGACAAATGTGGAGGAGATTCAAGAAAACATTCAGAAAGCAATCAATGGGAAATATGCTCTTTTCTGCCTTGGCTTTGGGTTTGATGTCAGTTATAAATTCCTGGAGAAAATGGCCCTAAGCAATGGGGGGATAGCACGGCGTATATACGAAAATGCTGACGCAGCCTTGCAGCTCCAGGTCAGGAGTATGTCAGAAAAACCATCTATCAGCTGCAGCTTATGTCCAGTCCTTGCAGCAAAATCATAGATTTTCTGGGATGAAATGTTGGGTTTGACTTACCCGTTCATTTTGGGGAGGGAGGAAGGCTACTCTGATCTGAGGGTTTGTAGCCTAACCATAACTCAAAGCAGAAGTTCTCCTCAATTCAGCTGCTTCCAGACAAATCAGGAAACTCACCTGTTTCTGTACTTCTGCAAAAGGACAAATAGTCCAGGGGAAGTGATGGTGGAAGTATCAGTCCTGGAAGCTGCTTGTTATGGTTTCCCTACAATTCAGCTGGTAGTTTGAGACATCTACAGGCAAACTGTGCAGTTCCACCAGTCTGGGTGGGATTATAGGTTTTGGGACATTCTCTTTTCTTTCGGGAAGCCAATTCTACCTGTTTTGAGTGGCTGTGCAGAGGCTGGGTTTTTTTAATGCCAGAAAGAGAAAGATTAATCTCATCATGCTTTAAGAATCAGGTGTGAGAAGGGGCTAAAGCAAAATACCCAGCTGATGTGGGATGGTGACAATGAGGAAGCTTCCTGGGTACTTGAATTTCCATGGGAAATACAGTTTGTAGTGCATGGCCAGCCTGGCTGAACTTTGGGAAGAAACATTCTCTTTTTTTCTAAGTTTACAGTAGTCCTGCACTACTGAAGAAAAAGCTTTTTAAAGGGGTTTTAGACATTCACATATTGCTTTGCATTATTTTGCAGTCATCTCTGTGTGTTCTCTCTCTCTCTGCCTCTCTTTAGGGCTTTTATCAAGAGGTGGCTACCCCAATATTAATGAAAATTGAAATGCAGTATCCAGAAAATGCCATTGAGGGATTAACCAGGAACAGTTTCACGCTGTTTTTTGAAGGATCTGAAATTGTAGTGTCTGGAAAAATTAGGAATGAGCTGGATCTTTTGCCAGTAGAAATTAAAGCTCAGTCTGTAAGTGTTTAGTTTACTAATTGTGAAAAATACCTCTCCCTTCCGTCTCCTGTGGCCCAATAGGAGACTCCCAGCAGTGTTTTGTGTGCAGTCCATGTTCTCTATGTTTGGGCATCCAGCTGTTTTCCCATTTTAGGAGTTATGTGACAATTCAAAGAATTTCCCCTTCCTGAACATGCTACAAAAGAAAAACTTGAAGAATATTCATAAATGAGCAAACAGCAGTTTTAATCCTTCCGAATCCATAATGTTTTGGCCTTTTGAGCATTTTTAGGTTTATGCTGTTACAGTGAAGTAGGAAATCTCAACTACTCATCTCCAAAACGTTGAGGCAGAGCAATTTCATCACCCCCTTTTTTAAACATGCTTCCTTGGTAGTTTGGAGTTGTATTTTCCAGTGAGAAAGGAAAAAAATTGAAGGACAAAAAGGGCACTGTGGTACAGAAAGATGTTCCTTTAAGTCTGATAATGTGACTACAAGTGAAGCCTAAACTGTTCTTTTGATGGTCAGTTTTCTCCCCCCTCAGCACACCAGTGACTTGACTCTTAAGGAGGAAGCAAATGTCAAAGAGAAGGAGCAAATATTCCAAGATCAAAGATACATCTTTGGGAATTTCATAGAGAGACTGTGGGCTTACCTAACCATTCAACAGCTCCTGGAAAAAGCGTAAGCTGTTTTAATCTTTCATAGGACAAATTTCTAACTTCTTACAACATGAATTCCTTATTCACAAGGTATATGATCAGCAAACACAAAGAAACAGCAATATTTCTCCAGATAGTATCAAAAACATGGGACACTGGGAGAATTACTGCATGATGAGTATGAGGTGCCTTTCAGTTTATGATAGCACTGGATCATTAAATGTGTATATATACATATATATAAAAATATAATGTAAAATATTCTTAATGGCATTACAATGACATAGATTGTAATTGTATGGATTGTGTTGAGCTGTTGTTACACATCCAGAAGTACTGTCTGTAGATAAGGAAATGGCAATAGCTAGTGAAAAGAACAATATGTATGTCCATAAGACATTTCATGGATCAGGTATCTATTATTTTTATGAATCTGAACGACACATAAGCTCCAGTGTTGCAAAGAATTAAGCACCTCCATAATTTCAAGCATGTGAACAGGTGAGTTATCCCAATCAGACTGCTGACCCTTCAATAATAAAAAGCATCTGCTAAGACACAGCCAATAGGTAAAGGAATCTGAGGATGACTTGTTTATAGTCTCTACATGTCATTTCTTCATCATTAACACAGTCTTTAGTATTTCAGCCCCAGAAGAGGACCAGAAGGCCCTGGAGGCACAAGCCCTGGAGCTGTCCCTGCAGTACAGCTTTGTGACACCCCTCACTTCCATGGTGGTCACCAAACCCGCTGACCAGCAGCAGGGAGAGCTGGCAAACAAACCCACTGAAGCTGGTAAATGGGGCATCAACCAGCCCTCCTGGAACAGCCTGCTGTTCTTGATTTCTTGTTGGTCTCTATTTGGGTTCGTTTGATAGTGATGTCACACAGCAATGAGGCTCATCAGAGGCAGGAGTTCAGGGATTGGCTTCCGTGCAAAATAAAACATACGGGATTTCTTTGGAAAGGTGGAGTGGTGGAACAGGCACTACTGTTGAAATAGAAAATTGGTTTATATATTAACCAAAGGTAATTTGGTAGTTGTTAATATGACATTCCTGCCAATGCAAAGGGGTTCCACACTTTTCTCTGTAGCTGAAAAGTGAACGTGGGGGGAAAGCCTGGCCCCTCCAGGAGTCTTGCAGGTGCTCTCTCTCCCCATCCTTGAACACAAAAAAAGCTCAGCACATGAAGCCCAACATTGCCTTGTCCCAGGTTGCTGGGTTGCACTTGGGTAAAGTCATTTAGGGTTGACTGTATGGCACTAATCTCTCCCTCTTCCTTCTCTTAGATAATGAGAAGCCCAACAATCGTCTAGTAGGAGGTGAGTGTTTTCTTCTTTTCCAGTAGCATATTTCCATAATACTCTCTAAAGAAAAAACAAACAAGTATTTGTTCTACAGAGGGAAGTATCTGAGATCTGGAAAAATGTGTGAAGCAAAACATAAGCAAAGCCTGTCACGGTCTCTGGCAGGGTTTGGGTGGATGACGTGGTCAAAAGGAGAAAGTATTCCCTTCAGAAGATCTCAAAGGTCAAAATTGTCTTTGCTCTTGAGGAAAAGTAGTTCTTCAAGTGAATGGTGTTAATGATGCTTTCTGCTTCTTTCTACCACATATGTAGCATCTCTCAAAAATTCCACCTCCAGATTTTTTGGAATGCCTTCTGAGGATGATTTAGGTATTTTTTCCCCCCTCTCTTTCAGGAGGTAGTATTTGTTTGAACATTAATTTTATAGGTGAATAGCCTTAGTTTTGCTCTCCATTTCACAGAAATGCATTGAGGGCAGCACGATGCCACCCTGTTCTCTGGGTTTGCCTCTTTCCAAGTGGTGCTGGGGAGTTTGACAGCAGAGCAGTCCTTGAGCAGGATCACAGCCCGGTGCCCGCCCTGCCCTGCTCAGGGGGCACACAGAGCTCGGGGTGCCCTTCCCTCACAGCTCCCTCGGGCTGCAAGAGGAGACTTTGGGGCACCCCTGCAGCAGGACCTGTTTCTGGAGCTGCTGCCAAGCCCTGTGTTGGTGTGAATGGTCAGGCAGGCCCAGCTGCTCGAGGGCACTGTGGGAAAGGAAGAGAGAGCTACAGACTGGATGTTTGGAACAGTCCTGTGAGGTGTGTGAGACACTCATGAACAAATCACAGATACCATCTTTTCCTTCTCCAGCTGCCTCTAGAATGAAGACTGGATCAGCTCCTAGTAAGTGCTCCTCTGTTTTTTTTTTTTTGGAATAATTCTATAAAGTTCATTTCATATGTAGGGTCATAGCTACACTGCTTTCATAAATACATTTTGATTGGGAATGCCCACTTGATTTCAATTTAGTTTTTACTGGATGTATTTCAGTCCACAGGTATTTTGTAATGAACTGTAAACTTCTGAAAAAAAAATCTTGACCCTTTTTCAGAATTAAAAAAATTACTATACCTCCTGAAAATAAATGTGAATGATCTGGGAAAGTATATATTAGTAAGCTGAAGGAAATGGGTGTCATTTACCAGTCCTGGGGGTATCCCAAAATACCAGTGGGCAACGAGCAGGAGGGATTCCCTGTTTCGAAGGGTGAGCAGGGAGATGCAAGGCATGACCCCAAACCAGAAGAACACTGGAAAAACCTTTTCTTTCAGGTCGATGGGGTAAGCCCCATGCCGGCAGCAACTGGAAGCTGTTTTCAGGAGGTAATCGCTGCCGGCGGTGTGGGGGAGGTGCTGGGGAGGCTGTGCTGGGTTCGGCACAGCTCGAAACTCTCCCACAGCCCCGGCTGAGCGCTCCCCGTGGCCCGGCCCATCCTAAGAGATGGCACTGGACACTGGGCTTTTTCCCCCTATTGGAACATCTTGTTTTAAGCAAAGCTTTCTCTAGAAATTAGTGCAGAGCTCTGCTGAAAAGGTTCTGCCACAGCATTGTTCCTGGTTAATTAGCTGACTCAGAGAAAAATGTTTCATTGAACTCTTCTTACTAATTTTAAGTATTTCAGTTTCCAGGCTAAAAAGCAGAGTGAGAGCACAACCTGTTGGTAAGTGATACATATCCCAGTCCAATTGCAATCGTTAATGTAACTGTAATGTACACTTTTCATACAGCAATGTTCTTCTAACTGCATCAACTCTATGAAAACCCTTTTCCTCTTCTTGCAAACCTTGGCTGGTTCTTTCCACTTAAGCAGAAAATATCGCCATATCCCATGAGAAAGCCTCTCTGTCTCGAGGATACAACCACCAAGAGAAATGCTCTACAACACATCTTCAGCCTCAGCTTTTTTAAGGGCTCATTGTCCTGAGTAAACTCTTACATTTAAAAATCTGCTGGTTTCATTCATATCAAGGTCTGGGTGTGGTTATAATAATCTATTCTAAAAGCCATAACTAATATCTTAGGTATAAATTTATTAAATATTTTTGCCATGCCTATCCAAAGGGCACAGATCAGATTTGTTGGTGTGTGCTGACACTGTTCTCCTGTCTTTGCAGTCCATGAACATCCACAATTTCTTCTGCAATTACCCAAACTAAGTGAAACAATCTGTTTAAATATTGATGGAAAAGCACAACCCTCTGTCCAGCTGCTGTCAGACCCAGAGCAAGGTGAGCGAGCCAGGTTACCCCCAACACCAAGGACAAGGAGAGTCACTTGTTCTGTGAGAGCAGTTGGTGCCTTTGGGAATAACCCCCTTTCACAAAGGGCCACATCATTCCAGCTGCCTTGCACCGGCCAGAGAGGCTGCGGGTAATTTTTGCCTTTCTATTGGGCAATATTGATGTTATAACAGCTGAGGGCACTTCTCCCAGCTCTGGTTGTGGGTCACCTCCTCCTGGTGTCACATCCACGGTCTTCAGAGATTTCTACTGCCCAGTCCTTGGGGGCTTTGGAGGATGTAGAGACCTTAAACCCCACGGTCCCTGGGTGGTGACAGAAAGTGCTCTGGGTGCAGGGCAGTTTTTCTGTGTCCTGTACTCAGAGGAGCCATGGCCCCAGGCACCTGCTCTGATCATGGAACAGAGACATCTCCATACAGGAGGTGGCAACACGGGGTTAAACAGGCTCTGGTGATCCCACCAGCCTTGGGGCATGAAATCCATGGGAACTGTGCCTCACAAAACCAGATTTGAGACCCTGAAGTAGTTTCAGCAACTAAACTGCAGCAGTTTCACTAAGATCACTTGCACCTTAAAAGCACAGTCACCTGAAAAATCTGTATCAATGGTATTAAAGGACTCACTGTGACGGGAAAACTTGGAGATGGAACAAATCGGTTTGTGCAGTTTGGAATTAATTATGTGAATCCCCCCGTGCAAATCCACGTGTCCACTGATGGGATCGTTGTGAGCCACAATAACCAGAACACTCGGCTGCCATGGACAGAGTCAGCCACCTCCACCATCCAGGGGTAAGAAACATCCCCCTGTCCTTTCCTAAGCTTGAAAATGTGTCACATCTTTGTTCATTCAGGCCTCCACTTTGCCATTTAGCTAAAGTAAGTGCTTCCAAATGTTCTTATCCAGTATTTCGGTGTGAGCAGCAGCAGGGTACCTTCATAATCCCCCACTTCAAATATGGAGAACAGAATAGGTTTGATTTTCATTCTCCATGCCTGTGTGAAGAGAAGCGAAACAACTGCACCACCAGCCTGCTTTTCTGCCTCAATATCAGAGGCAGAACATCTATTTCCTTCCAAAGGAAGGACCCCCAGCAATGTGTGGCAGCCCTGGTGCCACCACAAGGTACTTTGTGTCCCTCCAGCAGCAGAGTGAGTACTGTGAAGTGATGGCTTTGACATTTACTGTCCCTTTTATACAGCACTTGGCTCCACACAGGCTGGAGTTCCCTTTCTCCTCGGTTTTAGCAATAACTCCCAGCTGGGTGGCTGACATTTTTTATGGGAAGGCATAAAGTTCTGGAATAACTGTCTGTACCTAAATGCCCGCTGTTGGAAAAGGAGCACTTTAAAAGCAGACTTTATTTGTCAGACTAAGTAGAGCAGGATCCTTTGCTACCACAGGGAAGAGCTGAGTGGAGCTGATTCCACCAGCTTTTTTATATTGCTGGAATAAACACGCCCAAGAATCCACTGCTGGCCTGGGGCAGACAGGACACACAGTGCTCCTCCCTCACAGGCAGTGCTAGACAATAACAAGCCCTCAACAAGCGCTTTCCGTTATTTTTGTAGTCCAAACAGAGCCAAGAACATGCTGGATTTATGCCCTGTAGAATTTGTCTGCCAAGCAGAGTGATCCTCCTGCTTCAAACCAGCAGCCGAGCCCCTGCATCCGCAGCGCTGTGAGCACCACAAATGCCAGTGACAATTGTGTCCTGCAAGCCCAGCTGGGGTCACAATGACATTAAAGAGTCAGAAGAAAGGGGCTGAAAAAACCTGTGAAATAACCAAGCAAAAAGTATTTGATTTTTTCATTAATTAGCCTGAATTATTTTATCTATTCTACTTTTTTCTTGTTAAAATGGTGAGAAAATATTCTTTTTTTCCCCCCACCAAAGCATTTCATGTCATTATGGATAAGAAGGTGGATTCATCAGCAAAAAAGTTCTTCTCTGTTGGTGCATTTGCAAGACCTGTTGTGCAACACAGAAAGAAAAGATATGCTATTTCTAGCTTAAAAATAGCCACCCATAGATCAGGAAAAATGCAAAAGAGGCAAAAGGCAAAAATTAAATTATTTTGATTAATTAATGTCAGTTAATTAAATACATATTCTTTCTTCATATTCTTATTTGAAATAATGTCACAATTTACTCCCCAGTCTTCGAGTCTCGGTTGAAAAGGAAAGAAGTTTTACAGCATCACTGCCTGACACGGTCACAGTGAAAATCTCCCTTGTCAAGTTTCCAGATGATTTCCTCGGGCTCTATTTCTTGGACACCAACCATTTTTCTGACAAAGTCAGTGGAGTTCTGGGTATGTGTCGTTACAGATGTGTGTGGCAAAGAAGGATGGTCTTGTAACTAAACTCCTGAAATGAGAATGTGGGGTGTGTGTGTGGGGGGGGGTGTTTCAGGGAGTTCTTGAGAAACTTTGCATTTAATTTATTGTTTTTGGACATGTAACTTTTACTGGCCAGCAGTGCAGACCCTGCTCTGCCAAGAGGGGAGGTCTGACCCTGCAAACATAACACGATGCTTTCCCACTCACCAGTGGCACAACCCTAAATAGCCCATGATGGGTTTAGGAGTTGTTAAAATAAGGCTTAAATAATAGTTGGGCTTACTTACAGCACTTACCCCAGTGCTGTGGAGTGATGTGATTTATGCAGCAAATTCACTTGTTGGCAAATAACGGAGCATAAATAATAGACGTAAAATTGTAAACAATCACAGTTAGAAAACGAAAACCAGCCGGTCCTGAACGTCTTGGCTCCAAAAATCCTGGTGGGACTAAAGCTGAAGTTGTTTCAGAAGCTTTGAAAATGGAGAGGCTGCATCTCCCAAAGCCACACACACAAAAAATAATTGTGAAAAGCCATCAGAGCAAGGCTGAGCCTCCCTGTGGAGAGTGTTAGGGTTGACAGGAGATCCCAGCTGAAACACAGGGATTTTCTTAACTTATTAAGGGAGCTTTCATTTGATTGTTTTCTGAGATGAAGAGCTGCTTTCCTGGAGTTAGAGCTGCCATTTGGGTTAAATGACCAGCAATGTTGTATTTTTAAATAATTTATGTGTCTGTTGCTTAGGTCAATTTTATTCAAAAGCACAATTTAAGGATAACTCCAACATCAACCAGAGAGCTGATGAAAGACTCCTAACGGTGTCTGGATCTGAGCACAAAGTTTCCAGGTAACAGACATGGGGGATGTGTGTGCTTTGAGATGGATTTTATCAGCAAATACAGGAGATCAAAAGAAATGAAACTGAGAGAGTTTGTGTCTGTAAAAACACACCTCTTTGGTGTAAGTAACTTGCACTTGAATTTTTTCTTAACAGCCTGAATCTGTTGCTTGTTAAGTGGTGCTACAGGGCTCAAGGCTCCTGTTTCACGGGGGGAAATAATCATCTCCTGGGAGTGCTGACTCCTGGTGCCATCTGCACACGTCAGGGCAACTCTGGGCCTGCCCTTTGAGTGTATTATCACAGTTTTTCTTGTTTTGGTTTTTGTTTCAGGATGTACAAGAAAGATTACAGGCTTGAGTCAGCCCATGGGCCTGTTTCCTGCTGGTCAACAGATGTAACTCCCTAGAAAAAATATTTTTCTGGAAAAGAAAACTATGCAAATGATGCTCTTCCATGTATTTTTGATACTTTCATCAAGAAAACCATTCAGTTAAAGCCTTATTGTTATTAAATACATACATTACTATAGTAAAATATATATCACAAATATTTCAACTTGGAATCATTACACTTTCAAGATGAGACTGTGCCTGCTTGTTTGCTGTTTGAAAATGGTTTCTAAATCCCTTGTTGTTGAAGATTTATGTGAATGAACTAAATAAAATCAACATTATCAGCTCACAGTTTGATATGGACACATGGACTTCGGTTTCCAAATAAAAATCAGGGGTGGCATCACCCAAGCCCACAAATGAGTTCATGCAAACAGTGACAGATTTCTGAAATGCACCCCCTCTGTCCAGGGAGGAGTGTCAGTGTTATTGAACCACATGTTTTGTGGATAGAGTATGAAGTTTAAGGCAGTATTTGTTTATCACCTCTCTCATTGTTTATTTTATTGCTGCATTAAGGTGCTCTTGGAGGTCACTCTGTGAGACAGCTCAAATCTGATGAAATCAGCAGTAAATGCGACCACAAACCTGCCCTGGCTGCAGTCCCGTTCGCTGCTGCAAAGTCTCTGAGGTTCCCTTCTAGAAACATCTGCAAAACAGCCCTTCACTGGCTGCAAAAGAGACTTCTGCCTGGTTGCAAAAGACAGCATCTCAGCCCCCAAGCTCAGCAGCCATTTTTGGCACCATTTTGTGCAACATTTTGCCAACACTGGAAGATGTTTCACAAATAATGAACGACTCAACCCCGATTTGCCACGCACGGAGGTAACACTGCAGAGTAAACACACACACAAAAGCTTCTGCCCAGGGAATCCAAGTTGTGCTTTCAGTCTTCAGCTTGTTCACAGCTTTTAATTCCAAAATTATTTTGTGTTTTGGAATTTTTGTTCCCGTGTATCTTTGAACCCATAAATATGCCAGCATTGTAGACAGTTGAACAGAAGTTGCTTTCTATCCTGCCAACAATATAGAACTGGAAAAACCTTATTATTTTAGAGGAAAGTACTAAAAGAGGAGCAATTTCTTGCCAAAGTCAATAAACAAGCTATGTAATTAGAAGCCTGTTTTGATAGAAGAACTGTGCAGGCATGATGCCAAGATACGTTTGTCTGAATTCCTTGGACTTTCAAAATGTAGATTTGCAGGTGCCAATTTTGCTGGACAAATCACACGACAAACACTGGGGAGTTTGGAAACTGGAAACGCCAGATTGCTCACTTGCATTAGAACCAGGCTCACCCAATTCGAAAGGCAGAAGATTGTTGGCATTACAAATGAATATGGGATTTGAATCACGTGCTGTGCATCCTGGGTGTGTCCTCTCCTGCCCTGCCTGCCAACTGCGGGGATGGGAACAGCCCTGAGGGGAACAGTGGGGCATGGCTGGGGCAGCTTTCCCCGGCCCCCCTGCTCGGGTGAGGCCGGAGCGTGTGCTGAGCATTCCCGAGAGCGGCCCCAGCCCCGCAGTGCTGGCGGTCCGCGGGCAGCCCCCGCCCTGCTCGGGCAGCTCTCCTCGGCTGCGAAGAGGCACACCCTGCTAACCCGGACAGATGGGAGGATATCAGCTGCCAGCCTTCCTCAGCAAAACTTTTTGCGTAGTTGGGGTCTTTTCCCCCTCTTTCCACGACTTGCCTGTGGAGCTGTCCCTGTCCCCTGGGCTGGATCCAAATTTTCTGAATGCGCCAGGCGCCTCCCGTGTGTCCAAGAGGCGCTCGCGGCTGTTCCCGCAGGGATATTTGAGCTTCCTGCAGCAGCACACGTGTCGCTGCTGTGCCTGGTTATTGCTGCTCCCAGATTCCTGAAAGTGCTGCTTCCCCCTCCAGGTATGCTGTCCATTCCAGAAGTATGTGCCATTCCACTCTTCGCTTGAATTGTGTTTTAATATGTTTAGTCACTCCCCTCCTGCCCTTTCTGAGGCCCACAGTGAGCTCTGATGGGCTTCTGATTTCCTACACTCCCTTCCCTTGCTCAAGGAGCTGAAGGCAGACACAATATTTTGCATTCTGTGATTTATAATTCTAATGCAAAATAACAGATATATCCACATCTCACAGCAGATCTCTCTCACACTTCTCTTTCAACCAGCATTGTCCCTGTTGGCAGTAGATGTTTTATTTGACTGAAAGCATTTCTCTGCTGTTTCTCTGCCCTCCTTGTGACCTGTAGTTCCATTTGCTGTTATCTCCTACCCTGCAGGAATCTTGGAGTGCCTATTGAACAGGAGCCGTGCAGAAGCAGATTAGAGACCCTGAGGTCAACTCCTGGCTCCCAGTTCCATCACAGCTGACGAGGCTCCTGCCACCTCCAGGGCTTTGCCTCATCCCCACCGATCAAACAAGAACACTCAGTGCCCAGCACTGCCCTGTGCCCAAACTCTGCCAGCCAGGCAGGTCAAGGTCTGCTGTGCCCTACTCTGGTTTATTCTGTTAATGGGATGAGTACAGGACCAGCCCTGATTCCATTTAATTAATTATCTTAGAATAAAAGTTTAGAACCACGGAAACTTAACCTTACTAGTTCCAGTTCTCTGGTCTCTCACTCCTTTCTGTTATCCTCCCTGCCTTCCCCATTTTTCTGTACTTTATAACCATCTGTCCAAACTATTGTTTTCTTTCATCATTTTGATCTGAATTTAGCAGGCAGAGATATGTAGCCACTGTGACACCCTCTCCCCTTCCCAAGTTTTTTTCATCTATAAAACTTTTGCTTTCAGTAAAGATTTTGCTCCTGGAAAAGACCTGTATCGCCCATAAATGTAACAGTAAGTACATTTTTCCTCTATTTCTTTTCCTCTTCGATTCTTCTGTTGAATTTTTGTTCACCTCTACCTTTGTTCTTTCAGTTTAATCCATCACATCTCATGTCATCTCTGTTTTCCCACTACCCTCTTCTTTCCTCAGATGTGTCTGCATTCCAGTTTTCCACACAGTGACATTTGCTCCTTGTCATACAGTAATAGGGGAATTTTCTGCTTTGCCGTGTGAGATCACAATTACCTTGGTGTGGCTGATTTGATTAAAAGAAATCTTGAAGTAAATAAGAATTTTTTTTCTGTAGAAGTAATACCTTACAATCACTTGCAGTACAAAATGAGTATGAAAATAAATGAGACACTTCTTGCCCTTATGAATATGCTCATAAATTCTGTTATGGCAACAGAGGGAGGGGTTTTACACAATACAGTCCAAAAGAGCTGTTATTACTTAAATGTGAGTGCTGCTTGCAACTGTGGTATTTCATGAATTTATAAAGATCTCGGCATTCAAAAGTTAGGTTCGAATTAAACTACTAAAACACAGCAGTCCTGGATGCCAACAGTCCTCTCGTGTGCTGGCACCAGCCCTCAGCACTGTGCAGTCCAGTGCTCGGGAGGTTCCGAGTGCCAGGGAATTATCCCAAAATGTGGGCTGGGCTGTCAGCTGCCCTCTTGTGCTCAATCGGGAAATGCATCTGGAGCCCGGGCCTCGGGAAACCGGAATGGGAACATCCATGGCTGCTGCAGTAACGGGACCTGCACCGAGTGCTGAGGGAGGCTTTTATTGCAATCACTCCGGCATTGATTTAACGTGGAGAGAAGGTTTCTGGTACGTTTTACAAAGTAACATTTTAAGTCGGAATTTTGACCCTAATAAAGAGGAAGTTTCAGAGGGTGAGGGATATCTGTGCACACAAGTGGAACAGCTGCCCTGCACTTCAGATTCGGTCAAATGCACAGCAAAATTGGATGAGAATCCATCTCACCTCGTCCTTGCCAAACATGATATGCTTACAGGTTTTTAATAGTTCTCAAACACTGAAAAATACTGTCCTTTCAGACAAATATTCTGCCTACCCACGGATTTGGAGGAAGTTGCAGCCGCTTAAAACAGACTGGGAACGATGTAGTCTGTGTGAACCCCGTCTATGAGCCCAGCTCCATTGTCATGGACAAACCAGCAAGGAACGTCAGCACCGTGCTTGGGATCTCTCCCGTAATCCTTCTGCCAGCCCCTGCAAGGGAAACACAGCCATGGCAGCACGGAGGTAGGAAGTGCACCTGGACAAGGCAATCCTGCCTAAGTTCTTTGCTAAGGAGTTAATTATTTTGTACCTCGTTACTATCAGCTCGTTGTTTTTAACAACCATTGTGGCATCCGGTTTCTTGGGATCAGACCCAGGATGAATTTCTAAGATGGTGAAGTCAATGGGGTGGAAAAATTGTCCTAAAAATAGAAGCCAAAATTAACATTTCAGGCACGTTGTGCACATTAAAACAGAAACCAAACAGAAATGCCAGAATTTCTACATCCCCATGCTGGTTTCCACCTCCCTTCAGGGGTTTGAATGGATAAGCAAACACCAAGCTTTGTGTGAGGTTGAACATATGCCTATGGAATTATTTTCTATTTACAATCCAGAACTGTATCTGTATCATCTGGATGTGAATTCCAACTCCTGAGTGCTCAATACAGTTAGCCTTTTCTATGTGTCTTTCAAGATACCCTTGCTTGGTATCTTGTCTAGTCACCTGTATTTATGACAATAACCCCAAATTTTTAGCTTTTTTTTGAATCAAATAATGTGTGTGTTGATCTCTGAAACCCCTGGATGTGATTGTGCTCAGCACAAGGCTGACATCTGAGGAATTCCTGTGCTCCTCCCAGGATTAACTTTTGCACACTTTTGCCCTTTCTGGGCTGGCGCAATTCATTATTTTCCACAGTGAGTAAACTTATTGACCCAAGAGGAATGTTTGCTGCCCTCACCAGATATTTTAAGTGAAAATTGGAAGGCAAATGTCTGCTCTCTGTGTTTTTTGCAGCAGAGAATGCCCACCACCAAACCCACTGCACTGGCAAAAAAATGGGATCAAACTTTTGATCCCTGAATTACCAACTTCACTTTCTGCTAGAACAAAGAATGCTGGCTAACACGAGGGAAACCTTGGATGATACAAGGCATTTTGTGGGTTTAATATATGCTAATAAATCAAGATATACCTTAACAATTTCTTTTCTTACAAGGATCCACTAACTGAGGCTTGGCAAATTTTGATCAAGACAAAAGGAGAGGTTAAACCATTCAAGAGACTGGAGGAGTAGTGCAGTAAATAAAAAAAAAAAAATCTGTAGGTGGGACTTAGCAAGATAAAGAGGTCAAAAGATGCCAGTGAGGACAATGAGTGCCAGTGATTCCAGCAGCAGAGGAATTTGTGAAAAGATAATTCACACAGTCTGAGCCCAGAATATTTT